GATCAGCTAGTGAGTTCCAGACAGCCTAATACAAATGGGAGGCACACATTATTGAGTATGTTGACTATGTGAACTTGGCCACATCAGTCCACCCCAACAGCAAGAGTGGGCTAGTTCCCTCGAGTTTAAGGAACTATGTACCAATGTACGGTCCCCGATTCACACCTTCTATGTTCTTGCACTCAGAGAAATGTAAAAACCTCCCGGAATATGCCTGGAACTGCTTACCTGAAAGAAATCACTGTCATTCACCCTTTCTATTATAATAGCCTCAACTGCTCTCCAAGATGCCAGTCTACTGATATTAAGTGGGGAGATTGGACATCAACTGGCCATCATGATGTTTATGGGATCTAAAGAGAAGAATATGCAACTTGAGTGCAGTTGCAATGCAATGTTTGTAAAGAGAATAATAAGCTCTATGGGGGGCCTAAAGGTGGTGAGTGGTGAAGAGATGTACTGTTTTGCTATAACAAGCCACTTGTTCTGGGAAAAGTGGGAGTTTTGGCAGATTCCTTGTCAGTCTCATCAAAGCTGTAGTGGAAATATATATAGTTACCCAGTTAATTTAACAGGCCGTGTTCCGGTCTTCTTCAAACAATGTGGGATTACACGCAGCCTCTTTAATCTGATTGTTGAGCTTTGTCCTTTGAGTACATTGGCTGGACTGGCAGAGAACTTCAAGTGTATGTCATATTATTTCCAAAACTCCATTTGCTAGAGTACCATCAGCGCTTATCAGAATATTTTCAAAGTTTCCAAAAGAAAAGAAGCCAGCACTTGCCCTTTGAGCCATGTGGGCCACTTGTGGAGTTCTCGGCACCATACATAAGCAGTGCATATGGGGATAAGCCAATCACTGATATCTATTTTGAGGTTAGTAAACGGATATGTGCAGTTGAGCCCTCTGACTATATTGTGCACCTTATCCGGTGAGTCCTGGTACTTGTTTTTTCACAGCTGTAGGTGGATCTTGATGTGGGGATTAGGAGCCTGAATCTTGCTCAACAACACATTCAAAGCTGTGGGGAAGGCCACAATGGCTGACAAGCAAAAAGTGAGGATAAAGAGAGAGATGCTTACTGCAATAAACAAAGAAAACAAAATACTGTGCTGGTAAGTGTTAATTTGATGATACCAGTTTTTTTGCTAATGTGGGACTGAGTAGAGACTTTTTCAAACTCAAGCAAATGCCAAAATGGAAGAACCACTTGATGATTTGAAGTGTTGCTACAAAGAATTGAACCAACCTCTTTCACTGATGGTTATAGTCAACAACTGTTGTCATGTACGCAGCACAGTCAAGAAATCAATGCCAGACACGCAAGTTTGCCTGGATATATTTCACTTCATTATGAGGCGAGCACGACTCAGCTTTAAATCAGTTTGTACTGGCTTTCACTCACATTTTCTGTTCAATTGAGAACTTCTGGGAAGTGTCTAGCCACTTGCTGAGAGCTAACAGGGACAAAACTAGAGTCCAGTACGAGTAACTTCATTATCAGAGAGTACAGAATGTGTACAGTACCTAGAGTCCAGTATGAGTAACTAAAGAATAGGAATACTGGACTCTGCAATACTAATCCGAAGTTTTGTAACCAAAGGTAAACAAATCAGCCACAAAGGCGAAATTATAGAATGCTCAGTGAATACTGAACAATAGAGCAAAAGGAATAAAGAGGAAAGTGATTTAGAAATAAGGGAAAATAGATAGCACAACTAAGTGCAGAATCACCAAAACTAACATTTTCTGTAGATATCTTGCTGCTATCATTAATGGGACCAAAAATCCTTGGTGCTTGGCTGTGGCTTATGATGTTAGTGAAGCTAATCTGATTTCACAAGCTTCAGGTCACAGAAAAAATGCCAAATATTGATCAAAGGATGAACAAGAGGTCTGTCTTCAAGCACTGTTTGAGAACTGGGCAGAAAAGGGTGGGTTATGGTCTGCGGCTGCATCTAAGGTGAGATTTCAAAGTCTCATTTCATAATACTATACTGACATCAACACTAGAAAATATGTAGGTACATTGTTAGAACCATGGCCTTTTTGGAGTAACGGAGTACAAAGGATGAGATGGGGAATTGACTTAGCTCATGCGCCAGACCCTTCCACGGACCTTGGTCCCTAACTTGTTGGAAGTGGACAGAGAAGAAGTAGAGGATGAAAGGGAGCAGAGTAAAGATCTTTCGGCAAAGGATTGGAAAGGACTTTAGAAAAGGACTGGTAAGAAAGTGAGGGAATCTAGTCAATATTCAAACTGCAGAAACGGAGTACAGGAGTTACAGCTTGTATACTGTTGGGGGAGCAGGAGCTCGTAAGGAGTAACTTGTAATGTATGTATGGAGTTCCATGCGGACATTTATCTAGCGAGAGGAGAACATATGTGCAAGGAGTGTATCATAAGGTCTAACTACAGAGTCCACAAGGAATACTAGAACGTGCAAGGAGAAATGTATGGCGGACTAGGAGTCTGGTGCAGGAGTATTGGAGCAGACAACCGGAGTACCATGTGGAAATGGAGCGTAGAGTTATGCCGACTGACAGACCACAAGGATGTTACAACCAAAGTTTCTATACTCTGGTGCACAACTCAGACGAAGCTGTAAAGAAGTGAGGGGAGTGGTTACCCTTAGGATAAGACCAAGTTAGTTGTGGGTAAACAACAGGAGAACTCACTGAGGAGTCTCCTTGATCTATTGGGGTATATATACTACTACAGGTTTGTTTGTACATATGTACTATACGGTTGATGGAGGCAGTGGCTGATGATGTCATGGGGCACAGCCCGTGTGACCAGCTCCACTGCATGAGAGACTTGTAGCTAAAATAAGAAAAAGGCAGTGCAGCGCGATGTCGATGATGAGAACTGTTGTTAGAAAACCACACACAAAACAAACTAACACACAATCCTCCCAGATTCCACGGAACTTGTTTATGGGCTTTGCCTCCTAGAACAGTGGAGTGGTCTGGTTGTTCGTGGGGTGGTACGTATAAAGATCCTTCAAAGTAAAACCCAGTGGTGTATGAGTGTGGGTTTTGAGGAGGAGGGATAGTTGAATTTATAGAAAGATAGGGGCTTTGTGGCGAGTATAGACGAGCACTACCTTGCTAATCGTAGCACAAGGTAGGTTTGAGAACAACGAGGATGACGAGGTGACGAGGTTCCCAGTGATAGCAGGCTCCTGACGCACAAACTGTAGTGCTCAGAAGGACTCTAATCGAAGGGGATGACAATCACTTTCAAAAGTGACGAGTGACGATGACAGCAGTTAACAGTGGTAGAAGTGGGAAGTGTTGTGACCACACTGGATCACAAGTAGCAGTAAGAAGTGGACTTAAGATTAGAGAAGAAGTCTGGAATCGAGTTCTTTGTTTTTTTTACAAGGTAAAATACAGGGGTTTATATAGTAAAAGAGAAGTAGGCTATGCACAGTATAGCTGTGCAAAAAGAATGAGAAAGAATATGAAGGAAGGAATGTACGCTGACGAATCCTGCATAGGTAGTACAGGATAAGATTGTCAAAAAAAGAAAAGAAAGGGATAGAACAATAAATGCTGTGAGTAATATCACAGGTTTGTACAGCCATAAAGTAAGTCCATAGCAAAAGAGAGCAGAATCATGATGTCATGGTAGATGCTGCAGTAAAAA